GATTCAGATCACCCCTATCCGATTTGAGAAGATCCGATCAGATATATATTATATATTTATAAATATATAATATATATATGTTATTTATTTATTTATAAATATATTTTTATATTATTTATTTTTATAAAAAACATGTATATATATGATGAAAATAATTAAAAAATACTTGTTTTTTTTACTTTATTTAAATTAGTATATTTTATTTTTCTTTTAATAATTTGTTAACTTTTAAAGAAAACAAGTTGGATCGGATTAGATCGGAAGATTCAACTTACTGATAGGATTCAGATTCAAATAAAGTCCTATTAGATCCAATCGAATCTGATCCAACATGAACAATGCTGAATTGAATTCAAATATATCCTGATTCGAATCTGATCCAATCTATTTGCATCCCTAATATGAGTTGATGGAACGAATAATGTGAGATAGAAATTTGAATTTGAATGGAGAGAAGTTAATGAGAAAGAAAGAAAATAATGAAAGAATATTGACTTAAATATAGGAGTTAATGATGTGAGAAAATTTTGAGGAAATTTTGATTTGCAAGCAAACTAATAAAATAAAAATGAAGGCATTAATTTATAATCCAATAATATCAACTTGTATTGTATGATGTGGTTTAATACTGTGGGCATATTGGCCAATGTGGCCAGATATTGTGGGAATATTGGCCGATACTCCATATGCAAGTGGAATGGAATGGAGTTTTGTCCATTCCACCCATGCGACATGCTAATAGCCCTTACTTTATTAACCTATTTATTTGCTAATCTATCCTATTTATTACCCTTAATTTATTACAAAGATCAAAATGGATTCAAAGAGATTTAAGAGAAAAGAAAAAAAAGAAAAAAAGAAAGAGAGATTTAATGGGAAGATAATTATTAGCAAGTGAAATGGAGTGGAGTGGAGTTTTGTCCATTCCACCCATGCTACATGCCAATAACCCATACTTTATTATCCTATTTATTTTCTAATTCATCCTATTTATTACCCTTATTATAAGGACTAAAAAGGATTCAAAGTGATTTAAGAGGAAAGAAAAATAAAGAGAGATTTAATGGGGAGATACAAGCATCGACTTTTATTAGAGAGAGAGATTGTGATGGATTTCACCCGAGATTTAATGGGGAGATTTGTGATTTTTTATTTTTTAGTTTAGAAAATAAATAACGCACATTTGACAGAAGGAAGAGGACACTTGTGTGAGTCATTAAGGCTCACCGGATTCTTAGCTTCCCTCTTCTCTCTAAATGATAGTAGCATGGATCCATGTGATGCACGGGATTTAATAAGCAAAAGCTAAACCAAGATTTTAAAAACCAACCTAGAAATGGAATCACTCTTGCCATTGATTTTCAGGTCAATGGTTCAACCATCCGGTTTGAATGGATGGCCCATTCAAATGAAAAAATAAAAATAAATGTCAGATTGAACGGGAATAGATGTCAGATTGATAGTTCGACCACCTGGGTCAATGGGTTGTTAATCAATTTAATGGTTTTTGGCTAGGGACCATGTTTGGGGTAAAGCGAAAACCAGTTGCCTAGGTGGTTCTTGGGCTGAATGGTCTGACCATTTAGGCAAGGTTTAAAATTTGATACGATACACCCGATACACATGGAAATCGGACGTTACGTCCTTTTTCATGCGTATCGGACCCATATCGAGGGTGTATAGGGGCATATTGGGGGTGTATCAAGGCGTATTGGTAGCATATCGACAAAAAAGATACGGCCCAAAACTAAAAAAAAAAATATTAAAAGGGGAAAGTAAGCTTCTTTTCACTCAAACAAGCCTTCTTTCACTCCCAAATGACTCTAAAACTCCAAACTTCATTCCTAGAGTGCTAGATTTGCAAAAGTTTGCAAGAAACAAGTGTGAATCGTTAATTTTTTTAAAGATTTTTCAAATTAAAAAAATGGCAAAAATAGGTAATTTTTTTCAATCTTTTATAATATCTTGTGATTTCTTTTTTTTTCTTGAATGTTTAAATGTTGATCTACATTTCTTCATTCAAAATCATAATTTTTTTGTGTTATCAGTAGATTTATGGAAATTTCATGAAGATATTTGGGGAAAATATAAATTAACAAAAAAATTGAAAATTTAATCTTTTTCCTCTGCCTATAAAATACTAAATATACTTTAGATCTATGGATTTATCTATCATATCCATAGAGCAATTGGAATTTCTTCTTTAATGTTTTTTTTTATTTTTTATATTTTTAGAATTAAAAATAAATAAATAATAATTAATTATATTTTATCATTTGATCACAACAATTGAATATATTATACTTCTATGGATGATCTATCATATCCATAGACCAATTAAAATTTCTTCTTTAATAATTATTTTTTTATTTTTATATTTTTATAATTAAATATATTATAATTCTATGGATGATCTATCATATCCACAAAGCAATTGAAATTTCTTCTTTAATAATTATTTTTTGAATATATTATATAATGTTTATTTATTTTTATAATTTTAGAAATGAATAATAAATAATAAATAATTATTAATTATATTTTCACATAGAAGTTGGGCCAATGCATTTTTATGGTTGGATAGGAGAGTTGGGTTTTTCTCATCCCATAAAACATTGAAACTTAAGAATTATAATTTATAAATTATAGTTAAGCATAGGATTTTTAATGAAATTAAAATTAGCTACAATGTATTTCTTCATAAAACCATTAAAATATATTCATTTAATGTATATACACCTCATTGAGGTCTTATATTTAGTGTTTTTGATATATTTTTATGATTCATTAAAGTATTTATAGTGTTTCCATGCGTATCTATGCATATCTTAGTTTTTCTCTGATATGCATGTGTATCCAAGGCGTATCCCAATACGTCTCTTAAAATTGCCTTTCCGATACACTTGGCGTTTCTGATACTTTGAACCTTGCATCTAGGTCAATGTCGGTTGGAAAACAATGAGTTAAAGAATAAAAACACATAAAAGTATACATTTGTTTTATATTTTTAACTTTTAAATAATTAATAATTATTTATATTTTATATACTACTTTTAATAATTTTTTTACAATACAAAAATAACAATAATTAATTTTAGGTATGGGTGTTCATAAAACTGATGAAACTGACCAACCAACCAACTCGACTTGAGTTTGTTGGTATTCTAATATTTCCAGTTGGCTTTGGTTCAACAATTTCCCAACCCAATCAGGTTGAATCAGTTTCGCTTTGGCCATTTGTAAATCGAACAACTTGACCATAGATATATATTAATATTCTATGTTTTAAATATATTTTTTAATATAGGAAAGTGGAAAAATTCCTATATTTCTTAGTCTAAAATATCTTATATCATAAATTTAATTTTTTAAGTTTAAATCTTCTGAACCAATCGACCAAACCGAAAATTGACTCAAATTGATATGACTCGAGTTGGCCAGTTTTAATTAATGGTTTATCGGTTCCATGTGACCAACTCCCCAACCTAACCAAGTCGATTTGGATGGCCAAACAACCTACAATTGAACTAAACCAACTCGTGAATACTCCTAATTTCAAATAAATTAATAGTCTAATATCTAATAAATAATAATAGTTTAATCTCCAATAATTATTAGAAGTTTTGTAGTGAAAAAACACAATTATGGAAAATATATAGATGATGAGAATACAATAAATAACAAATAAAAATAAAATAATTACAAAAAAAGCAATAAATACTAAAAAATATATTAAAATAGTCAATAAATAGTATAATCTCAAATAATAGTTTAATCTCTAATAAATATTAATCAATAAATTATAACAAAAATACAAAACAATAAGTACAATAAATTAAATTTAAAAAGTTAAATAACAGTAGTTTAATCTCCAATAATTATTGAATTTTTTGTTAAATAACAAAATAAAAATAGATTTGTACATAATTATTGAAAATATATTTATCACAAAAAATAATAGTAATTACTAAAAACAATAATTATTAATTTAGTATATATATAAATGTATAATAAATATAGATTAAGATTTTAAAATTATTATTAATAAGTACTAATTTTTTTTGAAAGTTATTTTCTAGAATTATTGTTATAAGTGAAATTAGTTATTTACTATATTATTTAGTTATATATTATCATTGTTTAAATTTTAAAACATTAGTTATTTATTGAATTTAATAATCGATAAAATTATAATTTATGCTATTATTACATAATTTATATTGTCTGTATTTGTAATATGAATATTGTTAAAACTATTATACTTAATTAAATATTTAAATGCGGGAGAGAGGATAACTAAAAATTAGAGATAATTTAGGAGAGAAATAGGAATTAGAGATAATTTAGGAGATGTGGAGGAGGTAGTTTAAGAGAAATTTTAGGAGATGAGGTTATTTAGGTAATTTAGGAGAGAAAGATTTTAGGTAATTTTTATGGAATGAAGAGAGTTGGTTGTTTTAAAAATGGCATAAAATAAAAATAAAAAAATTCAAAAAAATAAATTTTCTAAATTTCCTTCTTTTAATATATATAGATAGATACTTAATTACAGTCATGCATTCAATTTATAGTTTTATTTAATTTTTGATCGTTAAGATAGATTAATGCGGAGATTTAAGTGGAGAGAAAAAGGAATTTAACAGGGGAGTGCAGGGGTTACAAAGTATTAATGAGGGTAAATTGCTGAATTAAGACTCCCATAGTCCCATGTTTTGAGTTTTGACCGTTACTATAGAGTATAGAGAATTAAGACTCGAAATTGAGAGGAACTTTATTCTATTTTTTTTATGTTTTAATTTAAAAATAAATAAAACACGTGTGAAAAAGAAAACGAAGGAAATAGAACGAGGCCCGTCACCCGTGTGAACATTGAACACGAGAGACTTCTGCTTTCCTCCTTCGGTAGGAAATTAGAAACAGAAGATTAGTAAGGAGATTTTTGTCATTTAAAGTAGTGTTTTTGGTCTATAAATTGTCAATGTGAGTAACACTTGACAGACTCTTCTTGTGCTTCCTTTTCCCGGAGTTCCTCTCTCCACTAACGGCTATCGACGCTCGCGCGCAATCGGGTTGACGCCCACTGGACTCGCCGGAAACTTTCCACCTTTACGGGAATACCCCAATTGCCCCAGAACCTCTGCTTACTCCATGGGTTTGGGAAGTCTAGAACACTCATCGCTATTGTCCGATTTCCTCCAAAACTCCGGCGGGTGTGCCGTCATCGATGGCGGCCTTGCGACGGAGCTCGAACGACACGGCGCTGACCTTAATGATCCTCTCTGGAGCGCAAAATGCCTCATTAACTCCCCTCATCTCATTAGAAGGGTAGATCTTTTAAATCTCGATCAATTCTTCTTTTCATTTGTTGTTAATTTTTCTTGTTTTGATAACATTCTATCACGAATTTCTTTCTCCTCTAGTTCTTGTTTCGATATTTTACAGTTTGTTTCATTTTATGGTTTGGGTTGCCTGTTGAAGAAAGCCACAGTTTTTTCCATTTTTATTACAGCGTGATGCTGGCTTTATGGAGATGACATACGTTGGTGATAAAACCAAAATGCGTGCTTATATTACTCGTAACCTTCTGAGATGTTCTTCTAGTTGACCCTCCCCATTTTCACTTAGGCTCCGTTTGTTTCAACGTAAAATGGGCGAATAAAAACTCAGGCTGAATTATTTGAGCTCTTGGCCTTTTTTTTTTTACGATGAAAACCCTGTTTTCATTGCCCTTTACATCATAACAAATTAAGGGGGGTAGAAAACAAGGATCTCTCTGTAAAGGGGGAAGATTACCTGAAATATTTCGGTTTGGAAAATTATGCGTCCATTTTAGGGAGAAGTAAACGCAACCTTAGAGTCTGTAACATGAGATTATAAGATATAAAGCTAAAACATCAGTAGGTCAGATAGTGACTAGTTTCATATCCGACCAAAGGGTGGGTAGAGAACAAGACGTGTACATAGTACATTAGTGGTCCAGTTAATTGTCTCTGTAAGGAAGGAAAGGATAGCCTCGCCTTTTTCTATTTGGCATCCATTTGGCGGTATAGGTTCCACCCATGGCCATGGGTAGACAAAACGTAATCTTGGTCCTCTCTCCCGGGATATATCTCCTCCTTTTTCTTACTTTTGTTCTTGCATGTTTTTACTGTCAATTTTCCTTTTGTTCTGTATTTAGAGGTATGAGTTCTCTTTCTTGCTCTTGTGGCCTGTGTTTAAGCGTTTATAAGGCTCGTGGATCCTCAGCATAAAAAATTTTTGCTTTCTAAGCAACTAGATAAGCCGCTCTATTCCACTACAAAATACTATTGAAATTCCTTAAGCATGATTGAATTAAGTCCATTACATCCAAACACATCCATGGAATAGATATAGAAATTCTTTTCAAAAGAGAAATTGTTTGTTTGTGACCGGACTTGGAATTTTGAGCACAAGACTGGATCCTTATTATATGTTTGTTCTTGTATCTCCTAATGAAATAGGTGCACCTAGACTACCTTGAAGCCGGTGCAGATATTATAATCACAGCATCTTATCAGGTACTTAAGCTGCCTTTCCTTTTTGTTAGCAATTAAGGCTTTGTTTGTTTGCAGTGTAATTTTATCTACAATAGTACAAATGCATGAGAGTGCAAATATGAAGAATGAAAGTTCTGGTTCACTTTTACTACTTTGACCTCTCCAAATTCCTCCTTTGAAATTGTGGAGAAATTATACAAACAGACCCTTTCTGTTGGTTTGATGTTAAGAACCTAACAAAAAATGATAAAGTCATGCTTTTACACACCTTAAATTTCCCAGTTTGCCCATGATTGACAATATTGGAGTGTCTATTAACCAAAATACCCCCAAAAGGCTCTTTAACATATTCCAATATAAGGAAAGAGCCTTTGTTTATTGGAATATAAATTTATTATTGAAATAGTGGGGATATTTTGGTCTATACACACTCCAATATTGTCATTCATGGGCAAACTAAGAAATTTAAAATGTTAAAAGCATGACATCATCGTTTCCAGTTGGGTTCTTAATGTCAAACAAAGATTATGTTTGTATAATTTCTCCAAAATGTCAAGGGAGGAGTTTGGAGAGATCAAAGTACAGGGGAGGTTAAAGCATTTTTTAGAAAACACACGGGTGTTGTTTTACTAAATCTGCAATGCAATCAAACAAAATAAATCAAAAGCTAAAACAAAAATAAATCAGAATTTGCACTCATACTTTCACAGCAGTGAAAATAAAGTAGCAGTGGAAACAAACCAGGCCTAATTAATAATGGTGTCTCAAGACATTTCTTGACTTTGAACAGAATGGTTATTTTATATGCTTGGCAGGCCACTATTCAGGGTTTTGAGGCTAAAGGATTGTCAAGAGAAGAAAGTGAAGTTCTGCTGCGGAGGAGTGTCGAAATTGCATGCGAGGCTCGGGATATTTATTATGAAAAATGTACAAAGCATTTGCCTGAAGGCAATGGAAATGTAGGAATTTCAAAGCAACGCCCAATTTTAGTTGCAGCCTCCGTAGGAAGCTATGGGGCTTATTTAGCTGATGGATCAGAGTACAGGTCAGTTATTGCAAAAATATTGCTTTTTCCCATTCACAGCTTTATCAAATTAGATCTGCCCATTCACAGCTTTACCAAATTCTTGGTTGTCAAAGCTTGTTTTTTTTTTTTTTAATTTTCAATTCCTGCATTTTCCCCATATTATTCAGGTAAAAAAAATATTGCTTTTTCCCAATCCTAGGGTTAGCTGTTAATGGCAATGGATAAAAGAGGGCTGAGCACACGAATAGAACAGAAGATTGATGTGGTTTGTCACAAGACACAGCATCCATTTGGTGAAGATGAACTGATAGAGATATTTATCAAAAAAAAAAAAAAAAAAGATGAACTGAATGAGATCCTCGCTTTTGACTTGTATAAACAGCCTATACGATTGTCTTAAATCTATTAAGAAGTAACTGCCCAAGCCTGTAATGGGAAAACTATAGTAATAAAAGGGAAAGAACCTGCTGGAATGGTAAAAGTGTATCTGATAAGTGTGCTAATTTTCAGTCAGAGAAGACAAGTAACCTAATATAGCAAAATAGCATTATAATGTTATTTAATGTCATATATTTCTTTGTCATAGTATTTTAATAGCTTTTCATTTTATGTAAGATCATTATATTCTGCCAATTGAATTTTCTGTTTCACTGTTCATCATCCAATGATATACACTCCCCATAGTACTATATTAAATTAGTACTGGCCTACTGGGGTTCTTAAATTGTTCCCATGGTGTATCATTAAATTTCATGATAGATTTTATTATTTTATTTATAAATGATAAATATATATGTTTCATATTATGTAATTATCCAATTATCTGCAGCCCTTGTAGTACTGCAATAAATTGTTTCCAGGATGTGTTGTATCATTATGGCTTTACTAATTTCATGCTAGGTTCTATTTAAACTTTTATGTTAATATGTCTTTTTTTCCTTGTGTCATTTTGCAGTGGGGACTATGGTGATGCAGTTACTCTAACAACTTTGAAAGATTTTCACAGGAGAAGGGTTCAGATTTTAGCAGAATCAGGTGCTGACCTAATTGCATTTGAAACAATTCCGAATAAGCTGGAAGCACAGGTATATTCTTTGGTGCTTGTAGCAAATGATAGTGATTGGTTTCTCTCCTGTTACTTACAAGGGGTTAATAGAATTAACTATTGGAATTGCTCAATAAGTGGCATGAGCCTTTCCTAAGAACTACAGACTCTCTGGTCTAGATTCAAAATCTGGACAGCTGTAGTAAATGGTTCAAGCCATGAAAGAGATGTCAGAATAAATTGGACCATTGTAGGTGGATGTCTAGCATTTTGTTCGTAGCAGTTTTGAGGGTCCTATTTATTGAGCCAAACTGATGATTTGGTAGAACATCCAAGCAGGTTTACCTGTGTATGTTTAGTGAGTAGAGTTTATCAAAAATGGTATTCCTATTGTATTACTTGGTTTGAACTTTTCAGTTCGGTATTGACTTTATCTCTTGGTTTGGTTGGTGGTCATGCAGGCTTATGCTGAACTTCTCGAGGGAGATGACATAAAGATTCCAGCATGGTTTTCATTCAACTCTAAGGATGGCGTCAATGTAGTTAGTGGAGATTCTTTTCTTGAATGTGCATCTGTTGCTGATTCATGTAAGAAGGTTGTTGCTGTTGGAATTAACTGCACTCCTCCAAGGTTTATTCATGATCTTGTTTTATTAGTTCGTAAGGTATAATCCTCTTCTATGCTGTTCTTTAATCAGGATAAAATATGAAAGAGCTTTTTATTTATTTTCCTTTTCATCTTAGATGACTTTGCAATCAATGTGTGAATTCATTGAACAATGCATGTATTTTTCGCAAAAAAAACCAGAGCTCTGTTATTGTTCACCAAATAGCACTATGCTGAATACTTGTTTGTTTCTGTGTGTTGTGTTGGGGGTGATAAACTCTCATTGTTTGATTGGCTAACCTCACAGGTGACATCTAAACCAATACTTATTTATCCAAACAGTGGTGAGACTTATGATCCTGATCACAAGGAGTGGGTAGTAAGTTCCCTCTTAACCTTTTCTATTAAATTCTTACAAGTTACAATATTTTTGATTTGCAACACTCGGGATATTGGCTTGGGGGGACCATTGGTGTTCTTTGAATAGGACATGTATTGTGCTCCCCATTCCCCAAGTTCACAGCTTGTTTTTTCTTGTAAAACTGCCATATAATTGGACAATTAAGTTGCAGCCTTAACTTTTAATGTATTTTGTCCATTGGATGGATAGTACTAGCCATCTACTTCTTTTTGCAGTTTTACACAAGGATCACCTAGGTTTTGACCTGTAAATTTCACTCACTAAAAAAGAAAAAACCATTTCTCTTTGTGTAGGCAAGAAATTGAACCTTCTTGCCAAGTCAACCTGGGTACCTATCCTCCTATTGGTGTGAGGTTGAGCTCAAAACCCAGACAATCTGATCTACAATCATTATCAGCAGTTTTGGGCAATAAGCTTTTCAAGTTGGGGTCCGACTGCATACTTTAGTCATAGTGTATTATGAAAGAGAGGAAATTTTGGTGCTTCATTCATCAAGTGCTTTGACAAAAATCTCTTTTAATGCTATATAACCCCTTCTTCTACCCTATGCTGCCTTGATTTATCAGTCGTGCATTATCATCTGGTTCTGAAAATGTGAAACGAAATAAACATGTTGTTAATTACTAGTCCTGATCATATTGTGACAAACTGGTTTAGATGCTGGTTGATGTAATTAATCACATCTTATTTGCCTTGTGCTCTTTTTTCATGCAGGAATCTACTGGGGTATCAGATGAAGATTTTATTTCATATGTAAGTAAATGGCGTGAGGCCGGGGCTTCCCTCATAGGAGGCTGCTGCAGGACAACACCAAATACCATTAGAGCCATATCTAGAGCACTATCCAAGTAGTCTTCTGTCTTACCATCGCTACAGTAGTAACAATTCACCGGCTTAGAGTTCTACTTTTAGAGAGAGAGAGATGTAAATATACATCACATGGCAGAAGTAGAAAAGGGTTGGAATCTGAAGTTTTCCTTATCGCTTGTATTTTTTTTTTTTTTGGTTGCTTGTAATAAATCAGACTCTTGATTAACTGTGAGGTTGGAATTTTACAAAAAAATTTCTTGGTCTCTGCTTTTTCCTATGCTAGACTAAAAAGACTAAAGCTTTTTGTGGTCAGGATTCTTGAATTAACTTGTTCAAGAGATTTATCATGTAGTGTGGGCAACCATTCTCCTTCCCCCTTCTTACGTAGGGGATGATGGGACCGAACCGTGGGGCATATTTTGTAACTGAATAGGTAGTATCGGTTTTTGGAAAACCAATAACTAAAACTGAACCAAAACCTATTGGTTAACCGGTTGATTGGTTTGGTTAATCATTGGTTTTTTTATTTTTTTATTTTTACAATATATATTATAAAAATATATAATAAATAATTATAAATATAAATATAATATAATATAATATTTTAAATAATAAATAATATATCATATATTATAAATATATATTTATATATAATACATATTTATTAATTTATAATATAATATATATATATATATATATATATACCGGTTGGTTTGGTTAATTGCTAATTTTTTGTATTGATTAACCAAAACCGAACCGACCAGTTTGAACCGATTTGGATCAAGAAATGGGATGATTGGGTTGTCTATTTCTGACATGATGAGGTAGTTCTATCATCTAACATCTATGCTAGCTTGGAGGGTATCCATGTGGTAAACAGTAAACTAATTTCTTCCGGTCTCGGATTATGAATAGGGGCTGGATGATTCATGACCCATCGACTTACCTTCAGTGTCCGGTTATGGAATATGATGGATCGCAGCCCCTAAATGACTCGTATAAACAAAGTTCTCCACATTAGACATGTGCCCTATGGTCTATGTCTATCTAATGTTTTGGTCGATGTTGATGAGTAAGGTCTCTAAACCCAAGCTAGCAGTCTAGCACATTATTCCATTGACCGAATTAGCATTTGAGTAACCTATTAGGCTATTACCTATCTAGGCCATCTTGGTCAAAATGAAACCATCCAATTAGTACATTTCTATAGAACAAATGAAAATGAAATGTAGGTCAACAATGCGCATTGATCAGACGAATAGTTGCACCGACTGGCAGAGTGCACTCCGAGATCTTTGTTTTTGCTTACAGAAATTTTTTCAAAACACCCTTTCCTTTGTAATTTGTCAAAAAAAACACCCTTTCCTTTCTACTTGCTAAGCAGATGAACTTATCTCTTTCACATGATAATCAGCATCATATGAATAATAAAATGAGAAAAAATAGCATTTCTTTTTTTTTTCTTTTGTTTTGGACGAAAATTTTTCCTACTTTTGATTGATAACATCCAAACATTTTTAACTAAAAAAATAATAGCAAAAGAGTTGATGTTCAAAAAAGTGGTGTAACAACCTGAAAAACAGAACATAAAAAAGTAACAATAGGAAACATCATTTCTTCTTGAATTCACATTATGTTAGATCTACAGCAATGTCTAGAAATGTTACTGAATGCCCATGCGGATTAAGCTCGAGTTCAGAAACAATGGTTTTGTACAATGGGATTATATTTGTGGGAAAATGGGATCAACAAAAGCATGGTGCATGGGATCCAAAAGCCAGAGTTTAGCTATGTGATGATGAGAAGAGGTAAGCCTATGAATTTCTTCCATGAGCCAGATGGTGGCTTCAGCTTTACAAGGATGGATTATGGTATCCAGTCGGCAATGCTCATCTTCAGCACCAATCCTTGATTGGTCCCACTGTTTTAGGAGAATATTGGTCAGATAATGTAGAGGCTGCCCATATAACTGTTTGATGGATTTGCCCAGGCCCTGCCATGAGGTGAATGGAATAACTGATGCACGGTGAGAAGGAACAGGTATCTGCTTCATGTATTCTTGATACATTTCTGCTCGTCTGATCATAGCACCTGCATCAAGAAGTATGTCTTACACTGTTTTCATAATAGTTGTAACAACAAAAAGTAATTTAATGAATAAGCTAATTACGCAGACAGCTTAGGATGCACCAACAGGATTCCATCCAATGGTGCAAGGAAACCAATAGAATGTGGACTGTTCATGAAACAGGAGAAACTGTTTTAAATATTGGCAACTCGGTTTAAGGTATCAAGTTTTACTTCTGAGAAGCAGAAACTTACCAAGATCAAATGCACCCTTAGAGCTACACTAGCACTAAAGCAGGACAACCACTAGAACTCCACCAATCATGCCTTTGACTCCAATACTTTGTTCCAAGAACTAATCTTGCCATTTTTTGAACACTTGTATATGTAACAATAGTCCCTGCTCTCTGAGGTCTTAGGAAGAGTAGACTGGACACAAACCTAAGCTTGGCATTTTCTTTTCACAGTGGCCACTTTCAGACTTGAATCCACATTCTCAATCTCCCAAGACTTTACCATTGTGCCAAGAAATTAGCCACGTTTGTGTAAATATAGATACTTATTGACGCAATTTAGATATTTTCTTCACAAAAAGCTTTCAAGAAAATGTCATCATCATCCAAGAACCCAACTATATGGGGTCAGTTCTTCAAGAAAATATGTACTTTCCTTTATTTCTTACAAACACTATTTGGATGGGTAAGATCTTGGTCTTATTGGTAAGAAAACAGTAGTTGCACTTTTCAAGTGGCATTTCAAAATATCTCAGCAATAGCAAAAGAATAGTTGCCATTGAGTAATGGTAGCATCAATATTTTTCATCTCCAGTTTGCAGACAACACGATCTTCTTATGCAAGGCAATGAACAGATGCAGTACTTAAGATGTCAGCAGTTGATCACTTGATTCTGAGAAGAGTTCCCATCTGCAACATGCGTTTTACTGCATATCATTTAATCACTCCTATTTTCTTTTCTTTCTCCTTTCCTCTGTTTTTTAATTTTACTTCTTTTGCTCAGTAACATTAAGCTTCTATTAAATATAAAAGAACGGGTGCAAACATCAAGCCCCCAAAAAAGGATAGAGCAAGGCCAAACAAAAATCCAGAAGACCTAATGTCAACAGTAAAAAGATGATAATTGTTAATGTAAAACCAGTGCCCTCGTCCAGCTGTACCTTGATATATTGCATCATCATCCTCATTGTGTAGGATTCTTACATTTGGAGTTCTTTGGTATGTATTGTGTTACCACATACAATGTTCCTTGATTTATTTTCTCTTGGCCTTCTATATATTTTTTAATGAGGGAAAAATTACAATTCTCTGGAATATCTTCCAATTTGCCATGTTTTGGACTATTTGGAAGTAGAAAGTTTGTATATATTTTTGAACAAGAGTAACTTAAGAAAAAAGAAACAAAAAAAAAAGACAAACATTCTCTTCTCAGTTCTCATTATCTTCAATGTTTAAGAAATTCAGTGAGATTCAGCATTTTCATTTAGGGACCAACACTAAAATTATTTACAAGGTCCTAAATCCTAATACACAATGCTCAAAATATTTTGGTACAGCTGATAAGCTCATACATTGACCCACAAGTATACTTTCTTAAAGGAGAGGTTTTACCCCTTTTTTCTCCAAGTACCATGAACATACAATTAACTTTTACTTGTCACCCATCAGTAAAAAACTGTATATGTTGCACTTTTGTTTTTATTACAAGCTTAGGAAAACCAGTAAAGAATTAGCTTAAGCCCAGATTTAGAAGTACCTGGTTCACTGGTCAGATTTGTTTCAGGTTCTTAACGCATAATTTGCAACCTTAAAATGAACCTGGTTTGCTGGCTTTATGCTTCTTTAGTTCATATTTTTATTTATTACATTGTTTGTTTTGTGTTGTTAACACATGAAACGTATTAAGTAGGTATAACCATTAAACACAAAACTTATTTGAAGGGGTATGAAACTGTGGTCTCAGTGCCTAACAGAGTAAAAAATTGAAATCACATGCTAGTAGGAAGGTGTGTAACACTGTAATAGTAACCCTTATTGAAATAAGAATCTCATTTTTAAGTAAAATTTCTTTTACTAGTCAAGTCAATATAATACCTTTGTTTTCCAATTTATAAGGTATTTTTTATGCCTATATATAATATGCATCTATTCATGAGGACCTTATTTCCTCTCAAAAATTGTAGCATTCTCTAACAATTGTGAACCAACTTGCAAATTGGTTCAAATTAAACAAATCACAAAATGGACAAAGTGACAGGTAATTAGGTTTTGGAACATTTAGATCATGACAATTCTTTATTCCTCTCTCAAGGTGGTTAGTAGGAATCACTTGGAAGCAACATCAGGAAGTTCAAAACTCAACTACCTATACTATCCCATAGTCTTCTTCCAGAAACAACTTAATGACTGAAAAAGATATGTCCTAAATATATAACAATGAGAATGGGACTGGATTAGGTTGTTCTACAGCAGTATTAACAAAACAAATAATACAACCAAGCACTTGAGGAAAAAAGAATGAAAATACCTCCAGATTTAGTTTCCTTGACTGGTAGAACAACGGTTGGTTTTGTTTTACCTGGTCCATTATCAGCTTCTAGATCAGAATCAGAAGAGGAAGAATCATCAGACGATAGTATATCCACCTGATTGCTCCATGGCATTGCCCTTTTCATGGTATGGATAAACCTGAAGTAAATAAATAAAACATGGGTTATACCTAACAAAGTTTTGTCCCAAATAAAACATAGGCTATAAAAATCCTGTTTCATCATTTGATTCTATCAAGGGTCATATCCAAATAACACACGAGTTATCCAGGCGTAAAACCCACAGAATTGAGATGAAATAATGCAGAATCTTGTATACAGTATAGCAATACAAAAGTTTGGTTTGATACACTAAAAATTATTAAAATACTTAAAGAATACAACCGACACCATTTTTCCCTTTTTTATAGTTGATACAACAGACGCCATCAGAAGGCACAAGTTGGATAAAGATGGATCACCATATGATCAAGCTATCGAACAGTAAGGAAATCACATTCATTTTTCATTTTTTCAGTATATCACTGATAAAGAAGCACCAAGTAGTAGATGAAATTCAGTGTTAAGTATTAGCCAAACTAATCATGCCAGTGCTGGCTCATGCCAGGAAAAGAAAAGCACATAAATAGCAGCAAACAACATAAGTTACCTTTCTCAAAAAAAAAAAAAAAAAACATCCATTTATTTCGTAAACAAAATAAAGGTATAAAAAAAAACAATTGTATTACTAATTCAAGATAAGCATATCTAAAATGAAACAAGGAATTCGACAAAGAAGAGCAGGAAATTCGGCTAAAGAATCATTAACTACAAGAACCACCGATCCAATAACAGACAATAAAAATCCACTCAGATGCGTTTATTTGTTTTATTTCTTTCTTTTTCATTTAAAACTGATCTTTTTGGTAACGAGAACTTCTTCTTTTTGTTGGTTTTTTTTCTTTTCTTTTTTTGCTGATGGTAGGGGATAACGGGAACTTCGTAGCTGAAAGCAAAATCGAAAGATTACGAGTTTTCTTTTCCTGGTCTGAACACCAAATTTTTACTCATATAGTGGTGAGCATGTCAATAATCCATTGTCCATGAGAAACAGGAGCAATGGGTTCTTGTGGATTTAATTTCCATGATATACTTCTGTTTACATAAGGAAAAAAAAAAAAACTCAGATAAATTCTTGGGAAGAGATAGATAGTAGGGTTTCAGAAGCAAATTCACAGTGTAGTGAATTTCTCCTGATGAGTGAATACCAAAAAAACCCTAAGTAACAGAGAGACACGTACCTTGCAGTTGCAACTTGCAAGAAGGGGGAGAATAAGCTTCTCTGAAAGTTTAGTACTTTCTATTGGCAAGCAAGTAATAGAGTGAGAGAAAGTGTTGGGGGAGACGGTGATAAACGGACACTTGGACAGAGACAGACTATCCAAATATTGGAAATCGGTTTGACCAATGTGAGAATCGGATCCAGAAAAGAGAGAGAGGTTCACATCAGAGGTTCGACCGGCATCAAATTGAAGGTCGAACCGTGATGACCTAATGTACATGAGTACATCATTTCTAATGCAGGGTTGGAAAATTTTAAATTGAACAATTAAAACATCTGAACCTATCTCACTCAACATTAGCCACTTAGCCGTGCAACCTCAGATTTTTCTGTTTAGTTTTCTGAATTGTTCGATTGCATAATATGATTCTAATTGACTCAAATAAATTGAATTATATATATATATATATATATATATACTTTTATTATTAGGACAAGAAAATTTGTTGTGAACGTTGTAAGATTATTGATGTACTTGTTTTTATGTGGGATATAGTACTACTTTGAACTTTGAAAGTTGGAAATGTTGTTTTTATTTTTGGATTTTTTTAGTGGATGATGTTGATGTCCCTAGCAGTGGTTCATGTTTTGCTAAGTTTTGCATCTGAAAATTGTTTATACCAGACCAAACTCTAGTATAAAATAAGGGTGCAACTTAGACTAGTCCAACCCAAATTGGATTGGGCTGACATAAATTTGGATTGGGCTTGGTTTGAGGCCTTGAGTCCGAGTTCATCCAATTTTTAATATTATTAGTAATTAAGCATGTGTATTGCACGTATGATTTTTTTTATATATATTAATTATTTGAATTTAAGATATATCATAGTTGGGATAAAAATTGAAAATTGATAAAAGTAATAATATGGTTAAAAATAAACTTAATACTTGTATTAGCATCTACATAAATTTTAAATTACAATAACAATTATTATTATTATTATTATTATTATTATTATTATTGTTGTTGTTGTTGTGTTGTTCTTATTATTTATTTTTATCTTTTGTATTCTATCTTTTTTAAATATATATTATTCAATTATAAACATCATGACTTTCTTTGAAAAGTTGGATCATTGACCCACCATTTAAATAAGAAAATAACTTTGCTTTTGAATCAATTTTAAATTGTATATTTCATCTACATTATATACATAATTTTTACTTATCACACTTAATTTTTGTTTGACATAATTAATATATAATTTTTTATATATTCTTTTGATTACTTGTACTTTTTATTATTTTTCAAATATTTATTATTTAACTATTATATAATTGATTAATCCATTTGAGCCAAGCCACTAATTCACAACGCAAAAAGAAAAATAGTTTGATTTCTAGGTTGACATTAAATTTTGTATTGCATTTCCATTATTGATAAAATTATATCTTATGTATAATATTTATTTTTGTTCAATATAATGAATGTATAATATTATATATGTATCCAATATTTTATTTTTTATAAATATATAACATTATATCTTATGTATAATATTTATTTTTGTGATTCTTTGTATTTTCTATTTTTAAAAATTTTATTATTTGACTATGAAATCATTTCATTTTTAGGTTGGTTTTTTAATTTTGACATTCCATTTTCATCATTTACAAAAATACTTCTTACATTTCATACTTATTTATGTTAAGTATAATGAATATACAATATTAATGACATGCCCAGTTCTTTTTATTTTTTGTATTATATATTTTATATATTTTAATTTTTTTTATTATTTAATTATGGCATTATTTATTAATGGATTTGACCCAAAATGGTTGAATTACTTACCCACCACCGAGAGGGAAGAAAATGGTTTTATTTTCAAAATATTTTTTGAAACATTTTCTTTTATATTTTAAAATTAATGTTATGAGTTTAATTAGTACAATTTAATGATGAGAAAAATATATCTTAAGCATAAGATTTAATAAGAGAATATACCTTAGATATGAGATTTAATGAAAGATAATAGGAAAATAGGTTTACTTCCAGTTGCTTTTAAATTTTACTTTTCATTTCCATCATTAATAAAAACATTTCTTATTTATCATCAATGTTTTCAACTTGTTGTCCTAATCGATTGAATTGTTCAAACTATCACTCAGCTTTAATTCTAGGTTTGATTCTGTTAAAACTCCTCCTTTTGGTTAAAAACTGTCTAACTTGGGCGGTTAAACCATTGACCCATTTGACTCGGTAACCAAGTCGCATGTTGCACACTTAATTATGTGCAAACTTTTGGAAGGCATAACTCTGCACTCCGATGTCCGATTGGAGTTATTTTCTTTTTATTTTGAGTAGCTTTTTAATAACTATATGTCCAAAGGCCATTATGCGCCTTGCCTTGCCTTGCTATTTTCGTGGAAAAAAACCCCCATTTTGGCCCTAAATTGTAAATTTTAATATTTTTTTTATAAATAAAAATTTAAAACGAAATTAAAAAACATAAATAAATGTAACATAATACATATATTATATGTAATATATGTAAAAAATAATTATATTATTTATTGATAAAATATGTACTTTTACACAAACATAGTGTTAACAGCGGTTTGACTCGTTTGACCTTGATAGTCAAACTGGTAACCTGTGACCTGAAGGCAAAAGTAGGTTGGCATTCGGGTCAGTTTTTAAAACATTGTTTATCATACTCATTATTGTTTAGTATGTCAAATATATGATGTTAAAAACATTCCCATTTTTTTTTAATTTCTATACATTTGCATTTTATATATTTTTGAATTTTATTATTTAATTGTGGCAACATGGATTGGTCCATTTGACCCAAATGGTTTAATTTCTTACCACCATCTGGATAAAAATACTATTTTTTTCGGTAGATTTTAAAAGTATAAGTTTCATGTTATTAAAATTATTAAATTATTATATATGTATTTGATTATAGAATTTAATAATGAGAAGAAACAAAGAAGCCTTAAATATATGATTCAATGAAGATGAATGCAAATTAATACCTTAAGTGTTCGATTTAATGAGAGATAATTGAATGCATTGAATATCTTAAAATGAACTCTTTTCAACTCATTTATATCAATAACTAATTATCCTATTTGCCCTAATTTTTTATCAACAAATTTAAATATAAAGGGGTAAATTTTGTCCTAAAAAATTCCAGAAATATTGTAGATGCCATTCATGCTTTTTAAAGTAGTATAGATATACTGTATTATGTAAAATTATGTAAATGCGCACTTATTAATGACGTTTCTACTTAATTATACAATCTATCCTACCAAAAAATTGGGCTACAGAACCTAATGAGGCTGAATTATATTCAAAAATTACCTTCAAAAGTAACCGAGATGTGTTGGGTTGGGAAATTTGGATTTGACTTCGGGTTAGGCCAGGCTCGAACCCAATGTTTGAGACTCAGGTGAGGTATGGGTTGACCCTCAACCTGTCCAAGTTGCACCCCTTGTATCAAGGTTCAAAGTATCGATACGTATCGACTGATATATGTTCTGCCTATGGCTTACTGATACGCCCCTCCAGGGATTGTATTGGGTCAGCCACTGGTTCAGAAGGTAATCGGACCTTAAACCAACCCTTATGAACCAATTTTGAAAAAAAATAAATAAAACTTCAAAAAAAATGTAACGACACACCGGCATATGGGCCCGTGTCGATATTTAGAACCATGCCTTACATAGAAGTCATACCACACCAAACTATTTTATTATGATCTGGAACATTTTATTGGGCTAGCGTGCGTGAATTTACAAGACAAAAAAGGAGAGGTGGGACTCTAGGGTTTGAGAGTCAGAGAAAGTTAAAGAAAAGTTAACCAGGTTTATTTATTTATTTATTTTGTTTTGGCTGGAGATTATGTTTAGTTAATTGTTTTGTTTGATTATGATCTGGTCTGTTTTCTAAAATTCAGAAAACCGGACCAAAATTGTAATTTGAAATTTTAAAATCACATATTCAACCTGACCAAACCGCCAATTTCAGTTTGATTTGCCCGTTCAAACCATATAATGAATATACAAAACATTGACAAAAGGTTTATTTAAATTGATTACAAATTATAACTCTATAAGGGTAATTTAGTAAAATGCAAATTACAGACTAGGTTTTAGTAAACCCGGGTATTTTAGTACATACCCCCTTTCTTAATAGGATGGAAATAAAATATAAATGGGCTACACAATATATATATATATATATATATATATATAATAGATTCAAGAATTTGTAGTAGGAGGTTTTGAAAGTATGGTACTTTGTGAACAAATGGGATTTCCTACTCACTTCTCCTACCAACTCTCTACCCGTGAATTGTAGCCACACATCTCTCAAGGCGGGTAGAGGGTAGGTAAGAAAAGTGAGTAGGAAATCTGGGTTACTTTGTGAACTATATCACTTTTTTTTTTGCCTATTATCAAGACACCCTCTATAATTTACAAATGCTTTACTTTGTCACGAAGGACAGATCCATCCCACAATTTTATATTGGTTGGGCTTGGGCCAAAGTTTAAGCTTTTGTTTTTAGGGTTGGGCCCTGGCCTAGACCTTAGGTTGCTCGAGTTCTACCCTATATTATCCTCCAACATGAGCCCAACTCACCTATGTACATATATGCATATACAACACATGTATGCATTTTTTTGATAAACTATACATATATGCATATATGCATATTTCAGCTCAAGTTGGGCCCAGGTTGTACAATTTAGGCTTGGACCTTAGGCCCAATGGTTAAAATAAAAAAGGTTTTTAGGCTCTTCCTAAACTTAATACTAGACCTAACTATAAAAAAATCTAAGTATAGAAGGCTAAGGAATCATCTCTCAAACTGTAGTAGTTGTCTACTAAATGTTTTAAGGTTGGGATTTATTCAGTAGTCGATTACCTATAAAACATTAGTCAAATACCTGTGACAATCGAGTAGAGGTGGATTCGAGTCCAGCTGAGCCAAATATTTGACTATTCGAGCTCGGATTTCCAAAAATCCATGAGACTTGAGTTCGAGTTTGGCTCAACTCAAAAGCTTGTAAGCTTGAGCTCGACTCAACTCGAGCTCGAATGTGAGTCAAGCTTTCTATAA